GGCGCTCCGCGGGGCTGTGGGCTGAGTTTTCGGGCACAGGTACCCGCTGTCTGGTGAGGACTCCCCGTCGGGGCTTCTGTTTCTTGGCTTTGACGCTTCTCTAAATATGGACGTCAGCTGCTCGGTGAAGTCCGCAGCCCTGTCACACAGCTGGCCCGGGGGACCGGACTTGGCGGCGCGTCCCGGGGTGCCGGGAGGCTGTGCCGCACGCTTCCCGGCCTTTCGGAGGCTGCAGATGTAACTGGGCCTGGCCGGCAGGGGCGACACGGCAGGTGTCTTCTTCGGAACAGGTGAAGGCGTGGGCCCAGGCTTCTCTGGCGGAGGCTGGACAGGTGCTGGCCTGGAGTCCTGAGGCCCTGCTGACGAGGCCTCCGTGCTCGGAGGGTTTTCACAGAGGCTTACCGGAGCCGCGTTGAGAACCTGTGAGATCTCCTGTTCCGAGTCCCCGTCTTCTGTCTCAGAGCTGGCTATAGCTCTGCGGGTATTGCTTGTGTATCTCCTCCTGGCTGAGGAAAGCAGATAGCTCGGGGAGGAAGTCAGCGTTCTTGCTTCCTTCCTGCATGTCTGCGAGGGAATCATAGAAGGAGTCGTGGGAGGGGCTCTCTGACATGCTGGAGTGGTTTTCATACACGCGTCGTCGGCTCTCAGCAGGACGGCTGCAGGCACTGGAGACCAGTTTACTTCTTTTTCCTGGAAGACAACGTAGAATTGCCATTAGTAATAACAGTATTTTTGTATGTGTTTATTATCATGATGCTACTAATATACAAGTGGGAGTAATGTTAAGGTGAACATATGTACTTAAAAAAACATGTTTCCCTATTCTGTGATTTGCAAGAAGCACCAAGTGTATTTGTGTTTATCATTTGTCATTTAATTTAGTATTTTCCCTGGGAGTGAATATTCAGTATCTCACTGGCCAGTGCGGAATACTCCAATGCAGGGACATCTGCAGGAGTGCCAAGTGCACCAGGGCCTTCTGTGCTCACAGAGCCTCCCTCCCTCCTGCCCCTGGAGATTGGTAGCTTATTGATTCTAGTCAACCTGACTCTGTTTATCTCACCCTGAACCATGAAATACATTTTGATTCCAGTTTTCATTTGTTTTCAGTTTTCAGTGAAACATTTGAAAATGTATTGTCTCATCCCTTCCCTGTGTCCGGCCAGGTACCCTCATATTCACTCATTTGTTCATTCAACAGGCAACTCTCCATATTAATCTTCACTAAATAAGTCTGCTGGAGGAGCAGGCATGCTCTCCGTCAGGGACTGGTAAATTTCTGCTTCAAGGGCCAGATGGTAAATATTTTTGACTATGTGGGCACTACTGTCTCTGCCATAATTACTCAAGTTTGCTGTTGTGACATGAAGCCAGCCATAGATGATACATAAATAAGTAAGCACAGCTGTGTGCCAGGAAAACTTTATTTATGGACACTATTTAAGTTTTACATGTCAAAAATGTTATTCTTCTTTTCAATTTGATTTTCTTTTCAACAGTTTAGAAATGTAGACACTTTTTTAGTTTGCAAGGCATACAAAAACAGGTGGCCCAGAGGCTGAAGTTTGCTGATTCTTGATCCAGACTGAAAACATAGCCCTTACATTCAAGGAGTTAGAAGTCATTCATGTAAAATAGTAAAGAGCAGGAGGAGGGGAACACATTCAACAAATAACATACAAATAATATAAAATTTGGATAGGGTGCCAAGGTGAAAAGAGCTTGGTCAGCACAAGAGCCTAACTTGATCTTCAAGGACATGCAAGAGCCACGGGATGTGCATAAGATATTTCTATAGAAACACCAACAGCATTGAATAAAAGGTGTTTCATTATCTGCAAAATAGTTGATCAACAATTTAGATCACACTGCATTTTTAAACTAAATATTGTGAGGCAATGACTGTCCTGTTACTCTAAATGTACTGAGCTTTTTCTGTATGTTGTTCATAGAGCAATGGAGGGAATCTGGAAAATTCAGAAGGGATCTTTGCCTCAAGACTGAGTTTAGAAGTCAATAAAAGAAGCTGGCTGGAGGTGGTGAAGCTCAGCTCTGTAAGTTTCTACATTTGATGGTGCTGGGGCACAGTGGGCTTGGCTGTTAGATGCCCCCTCTTGGACTCTAAAGCAGGGCCCATGGAGAAGCCGAATGGCAGCTGGACACTGTGAGTGGTGGCAGCAGCAGCAGGGAGTGTCCGGGATCCTGGTGGAAGCCACGGTGCAGCGACCACCATCACGTGCTTTCTCCTGGTACTGCTGACTGTGATCTTGCCTCCTGTGTGGACTCCAGGCCTCAGTCTGTGAGTTGGCACAGCTCCTATCGATAAATGCCTATACACTCCAGTTGACCAGTGAATATTTCTGTCACTTGACACTAATGAACACAACTGATAGTAGGTGAAAAAGATGACAGAGGTCTGAACAAGTGATATTGGCATGGAAAATTGTACTGAATCCATAGAGAGTAGAAAGGACAGAAGTTGGTGTTGATTAAAGGAAGAGATGGCACAGGCAGGATTATAGATTTCTTAATGACATGGTTGTGCTGGTGGCTCATGTGACCTAAGTGGGGAACAAGTGTTGAGGGAAAAAAAGCCTAAATTTGATTTATACTTTTTGCATTTTGAGGCACTTCTGGGTGTTGATGTCTGGAAGGCAATTTGAGATACTGGTCCGGGGTCCAGGAGAAAGGAAAGCAGGGCTGGATTGGGAATTATTAGCCCATGGTGACACCATAAGCTATGGGAATGGATAAGGTCATCAAGAAAGAAAGAGAGAAAAGGAAAGAAATCCTCCAGAGAACTAGGGGGAAGCAGGAGAGTGGGGTGTCATTGAAGGCAGGCAGGAAAATGTCCCATGAAGGAGGGAGGGCCCTTTTGACTCAGCAACTGAGGACATAGGAACCATTGGCAAGAGCATTTCAGTTTCTGTGACAGAGATAGAAACCAGATTCCACATTTGCTGAGAAACTGTAGGGAGGCACGGGGAGAATCTAGATGGCAGCAGGGCTGACTGAGTTTACGGAAAGGAAGAGGGGCAGAAGGTAGTAGCCGGACAAAAGTATGGAATCCAGTGAGGTTTTTTATTTGTTTCATTAAGACAGGAACTTGTTTCAGTGCTAATGGAATTAGTCAGTAGAGAGGGAGAAGCAGAATATCACCTCTAAGAAAGCAGAGGAGGTAGAGACCAGGTTCTGGGATGTGAGATGGAATGCTATAGTGCAAATGGCTTCAGGTGGGAAGGGTTACTTACTTATTCAACAAATACTTACTGAACACAGAGTAGGTGGGTCTGGCATGTTTTTGGCACATAAATATTGTGTGTTTCTTCAGTTTATGAACAGTGAGAGCTTATTGAAAGATTTTGTATAAGGAAGGGCTGTGATGAGCTTTGTGTTTCAGAAATGAGTCTTGATTTCAATGGATAAGATAGATTAGCAATAGAAAACAGACTGGTGATGTAGAAGTCAGGAAACTACTACAATGGCACACGTGAAAGATGAAGATTCTGAATTAAAGTAGGAGCAATACAAATATAAAAAGTGAAATTGAGGAGTTCAATTTTGTAAACCTGAAGACCTGTTGAGTTGGATATACCCAAGGGATTTCTATTTGGCTGTGTCCATAGTTGCCTTGATCTGTAAGTTTGGACTAGAAATACAACTTTACTTTAGGTTGGTTTCTAACAGAAGAAAGGTGAGAATGTCACTACTGGCTTCTTCGTGTAGTCCTAGCTTTCCCAAAGGCAGAGTAGGGGAAATCTCCTTACTGGATTTCAATTGCAAATACATCATATTGTATTTAAATTTTGTTTTCAGGTATGTATGTGTCTTTCCCTGGACTTTGCCATTTCTAAGTCAGTGATTATGTCTTATTTACCTTGGCCTTTTCAGCACATAGCAAAGTATTCAACCCAGAGTAATTCCCTAGAAAATGATTTATAGAGAAGCACAGTGAAAGAAAGGGCTCTGCTGAACTTGTCTACCATTTAAAGGAGAGACTGCGCAGAGCAAAATAGAATTACAAGAAGATGAGTTATAAAATCTCTTGAAAGAAGAGATATTAGAAAGAAGTTGGGATTGAATAGTTTCATTATTAGCTACTTTTGGAGCTTCTGAAAAGAAATGAAGTAACACCTCTAATTTGTTTCATGAAAATGTCCTCAATATCTGGATGTGGTTGGCATTATGTCAAAATCCAAATTCTGTATCCTGTTTATCAGGAAATTTGAGACTATGGGAGGATTGTTAGTCGCTGCAGAATTTGGACTCTTGTGAGATAACATTTGGAATATAGAATGACCCTGTAGGCAGGGTAAGTGGATTAAACAGCTGTTTGTACAATAAAATGAATATAATCATTGGATTTGATTCATCTGACATGTAGTTATTTCCTCAGATATATTAAATCAGGTCATGATTAACTAATGGGACATTAGAGTTTTTTTGAATCTGTATTTTCTAAAATAACAATGGAGAAATTGTTGTTTAAGGTAAAATTACAGAATTTGTGGTGGGACTTGCTCACTGGTTTTGCAGGGACAGAATTTTTGTGAGAAATATAAAAGTTCTTCTGGAGGCATGTTTTCCTTGACCTGTGAACAAGGGATAAGGTAGGTTGCGATCCTTGTGAATGTGAGCCGTGGGCAGTGAGTGAGCAGTTCAATCAGAAGGTTGCCCAAGGTGGCCAGCAGGTGTGGTAGCTAATATGCTGACTGACATTAAAGAAGGCAACAGAGCCAAAGGCTTTCCTCCTATTCTCTTTTCCAGGAGAATAATGACCAAGGCTCAAAGAGTGCCACCACCACTGACTGTTGCTTCCAGTCATTCTAGTCAGCTTCGTTATGCCACAAATATCAGCTTTGTGGGCTGGTGGCATGAGCCATTGAGCAGCCCAGCCTGGTCAGGTCGCTGAATCAATCTTCATTGTTTTACGTTATTTGCTTCACCTACATAAGCAAGTCCCTGTTTTACTTCAGCGAGATAAATGGAAGCACTTCTTACAACCTTTATAATAATTTAGTTCCTGCCTCTTCACAATATGACAAAGCATGTTGAAGTTATGCTCTCACTTACCTTTTCTACCTTTTCCCAGTCAGTCACAAGGTCTCAATAATTCTTTGTACATTGTGGAGGTGTAGATAATCACTCATGTCATGCATGCCTCTGGTTATCTTCTGAGTCTTCTTGAGAATTGTCTTCATGGTGTTTCAAATTCTGTGGAAGACTTTGAAAACCATAATTTAATGGGATTCATGTGGAAGAGGGATTAAATTTACTTTTTTTGGCTTTTGGATACAGAACAAAAATAATTAGGTGTGTGTCAATTTGATTTTAATTAAGAAACATATTGAGTGGCAACCATATGTCAGGTGCTCTGCTATACCTGGAGATACAAAGATGAATAAAATTCTCACTTCTGTCAGTGATTTTAAAGTTTTGTAGGAAAGTCAAGCAAATAGAACAATAATAGCAACACAATGAGATAAGAGCTATTTTAAAATGTCCACACAATACTATGGAAGCAGATTGATCTACCAAAAAATAATATCTAGTTCTGAAGTTTAAAGATGATTTTTGTCTTTATAATCCAATTGTATCCATCCAACAGAGGGATGTTTTTCCCTATAAGAAACTGGTTTCCTGTCACTGGAGGTTTGCAAGCTGAGACTAAACTGGAAAGATAAAAAATGGGAAAGAGGCTGGGGTGTGGGTTAACTGTGAGACTGGTGGTGTTTCCAAGTCTGAATTCAAGGATTCATTAACCATCAGTGTAGGGCTGAGTTTTAAGTAGTAGATTCCTGTATAAACTCAACAGACTCCCTTGATGAGATTGAACTGCTCACTCACTGCCTGATACTCCTACTCCCAGTCCCCATTCCTCTGCCATAGCACTCTCCTTTATGGCATTTATACAAAGAATATGAAAACACTAATTCAAATAAATATATGTACCTCCATGTTCATTGCAGCATTGTTTACAATAGCCAAGAAATGGAAACAACCTAAGTTGGAATATAGGACGCAAATTTTGCCATTTGCAGTAACATGGATGGACCCTGGGGTATTATGCTAAGTGAAATAAAATCAGACAAGGAAAGACAAATGTCATATGATCCCATCTATATGTGGAATCTAGAAAAATAAAACAAATCAAACCCCAAACCTAGCTTGTAGATACAGAGAATAGATTGGTGGTTGCCAGAGATGGGGGGAGGGAGGTGGGTGAAATGGGTGAAAGGGTTCAAAATGTACAGATTTCCAGTTATAAAGTAAATAAGTCATGGGGATGTAATGTATCGAACAATGACTATAGTTAATAATACTGCATTGTATATCTGAAAGTCGCTAAAACAGTAGTTCTTAAAATTCTCATCATAAGAAAAAAGTTGTAACTGTATGGTAACCTATTTAAGCAGACCTATTGTGATAATTTTGCACTACATACAAATACTTAATCACTGTGTTGTACACCTGAAATTAATTTAATTTTATATGCCAATTATACCTCAATTTAAAAAATGGTGCAACACATGTTACTATGAGAAAATATTTCTATATCCTATATTTAGGCTTTTAATCTGATTTGCATGTGAAAACATAAGGGGTTTTTCATGACACCCTCAAATTTTAGGCCAGGTCATTGGATGTTTCTTTTCTTTTCTTTTTTTTTTTTTTTAGTGCAGGATATTGCTTTGGAATAAAATTTAGTCCCTAAAACAACAGTGACATTTATTCGCAAAGTGGGCTTATATATAGCTCTTGCAAATTAGGTTTCCTGTGGCTTTTAACAAGATACAATTTCTGCTTCTTATCTGTTTGCTCCTAAGACTCCTGATGATTTCAACTCAGGTTGACAAGGGAGAAACACAAGTCTAGATTTTGTTCCAAAGATTTTCTCACAATGGACCTCAGATATTACAGAATGAGGAAGGGCAATAATAGAGCAGCAGTTTTGAGGGGCGAGATTTTGGCAGACTGCTGGATGTCCACGTCCATTCCTTCATCAAGTATTGACCGGACGACCTCTATGTGCTGAATGCTATTAAATCCTGGCCAAAGGAAGAAAAACTAGATATGGCTTCTGGTGCCTAAAAGTTCACATTCTAGGCCAACACAGACTTTTCCTTGGAACTGAAGGGATGGAATTCAGACTGGTGAATTTCAGTGTCAAGTTAAGATACAAAGCTTGATGACATAACTCAGAATGAAGAGGGAAACATTAGCACAGTTAAACCAAAGTATTGGTTGACAAAAAATAAAAAGTTGTGTCAATAGAAGGAGTGTTATTCCTATGCACAATCAATTTATGTAGGGGATCATTAGAAATAAATTTCCAGGTAGACCATCTAGTTGCTTTTAGAAACTCTGTGGGGGGGAAATAGCAATATTCCTGAATGGAAGTCCTCCGCCATTCCAGACCCTCCCTCCATCTGCAGGGTCAGAACTCATCCCTCACTCTTCTTTCCTCCAACCCTCACTGCTGAACATAATAGGCTAGAGCAGCAGGAACTGGACCGAGGAGTAAATCATTGACATTCTACAACTAAGAATGAAAATTTTGTAACATAATTAAAGGTTGATGGAGACTTATTTCTGCAAGAATGCTTAATGGAGATTGTGAGACAGAGGACAAAGACATGTAAATCAGAGGCTAACAATAGTTTACATGGGGCAGCCTTCTGTAATAGGCAAAGAGGTCTCAACTTAGTCTAGTAGTAGAGATATAAGTAGCTAAATTCATGATATGACTCTTGATTAACTCTTCTATCACTGTAGCCATCCTGTAAAGAGCTGCTTAAACCATTACTGGTGTCCAGAAGTTATTTGATTCAGAGAGATATAGAGGAGGCAGTATAAGGAATATCCTTTTGGGGAGAGAAAATCGTCTATTCACAGAAATAGATCCAACTAAAAAAATTATAAAAATCATTCCCCCTCCTACACCCTTTCCTGAGAATATCTAGAGAAATATCCTATAGGATTCATTTACATCTTTGAAGACTCAGCTCAGACATCACTTGCATTAAAAGCTTCCTCTGAACACCCAAAATTGTGTATCCTCCTTTGAACCCTCAAGGCAAAGTAATGAAAATCTGAACTAGTAATGGAAGGGAGATAATGGATGTAAGAGAAAAGTAGGCAAGGAAATGAATAAAATTTAGCTGTCCATCGTTACATGAGAGGAGAAAACAATGACCTAGAGACTCTGAGCACTCTGGGCATGTGAACCAGAGAATGGAAAGGCAGCCATCCTCAGGCACACAGACAGACATGCTTGTTGGGTGGGGAAACTGTATTCAGATTTGGTAATGTTGGGTTTAGGGTATTACTGGAATGTCTAGTTGTATATGTCCCAACTGTGTATGTGGGACTTGAGTTTTCAGTGCATTCATGGCAAGCACCAAATAAAAATTTGATTATTACCTGTTAAAATATGGTATTTGAAGACATGAGAATATATCAATTTGCTGAATGATGAAAATACATACCAGGAAGAAAATAGGATCAATGATAGAACCTGGGGCAATATTTGCATTTCAGGCATTTGAGTAAGATAAAGACCCAGAGAAAGAGTCAAAGGGGTTCAGGAGGATCAAGAGTTTATCTTCATCAAAGGCAGAGTAACTTTCTCAAGCAGCTAAGGAGGGCCCCAGCAGGCCCCAGCAGGGCAGAATGCAGGTTAAATGTTAAAATATTCCATCTTCTATCTTGCACTTATTTGGAGAAATTTTTAATTTGTTTAGTCAACAAATAAGATTAAAATCTCAAGAATATGTATTTTTTTTCTGATAATAGTGACAGGAATGATGTTAATTGCTAATCAATTAATCCAGTTTTGTTACATTTCTAGCAGGCTCATTCTAAGACCTGTGGCATATTGGAAAGATTATTGGCTTTGGAAGAAAACTTGCCAGGGTTTGAAATTTCTTGATGCTAATTAGTTATATGACATTAGGAAATTTATTTAATCTTTTTGAGTCTCAGTTTATTCATGGGTAAAATGCAAACAGTAATGCTTACCTTGCAGTACTCTTGTATGGTTAAGATAATATATATTATTTAGCACATCATTCATACTAAATGATAAAGAATTATTTGTCCTTCTGCATCCCTTATTCTCAGCATCATTTAACCCTCATGAACATCTCTAAAAAATATGTTTATGTGTTCCTTTGCCTTAATATAGAAAACCATGAAGAACATTATCAAGGTTTTTATGGGTATTAATGGAAAGATACTGAAGAAGTTTGCAAAATTGAAAGACAAATCTAGGAACTAGGGAAACTGTAGAAACATACCTAAATTGGAATTGTGCATTCCCCAACTTCCAGGATGAACTCTGGTACAGAGAAGAAAAGAAAAGCCTAAAAATGGGAAGGATAAATATTTCTCAGGAGCCACTTGAACCCTGGCTCAGAAGGACTAGAACCAGGAAATCATTACTGCTAGTTGCTTCTTCTTTTGTCCTTTCATTTTTGCTCATCTATGTTTGCTTTCATTCTCTTCTGTTGTAAATGGATTCACTCTACATGCAGGGGGATGTGGTTGTTAGTAGCCAAATTAATTACCTGCTAGCTCTGTGAGAAAAGGAAAGAGCCAAAATTACCAAAAATTCTGGTGAGGCACTCACTTGATCTGGCTTACTTCTTATAACCAATCCTGCAATTATGACTAAGGCTGTAGCATCCTAGGATTCCTCCAGTTTGAGCTGTGAACTCAGTTCTGCGGACACTGGTGCTGGGGTCTCTTAACGGTAGTATTGGAGGAAGTCATGGAGTAGTCTTGACCCACAAATGGACGGCGCTATCGGAAGCTCCTCACCCTCTCCCTTGTCCTTGGAATGTACATTCTGCCCAGCATTCCCAGAACTAGAGCATTTTTCTAGGACACAGCTTTGAGAGAGCAAGGTGTTGTTGAGAGCATCTGGAGTAAATATGTGACTGAACCCAGTTAAGGTTTCCATATGAATTTTTAAGATTATGTGTGGGAGCAAAGATCTTGTGGCTGTCCACGAGTTTTATTTTTTAATCATGAAAGGATGCCATTGATGGTTAAGGTAGATTGAATTTTTTCATAGAAATTTAAAGATTATTGATTTTTCTCATTTAATTCATTAGTATAATCAATTTATTAAATTAATAGGTTTTTAAGAAATGTTGCATCAGTTTGGATCGTGGAATAGGTTCTCCTGTGTATTGTTCTTTTGCTACATGCTGAATTTCATTTACTAAAAAGAAATTTTGATTCTTGTTTGTAAGTGAGATTGGTCCTTTGTTTTCTTTTCTTGTGTTATCTCTGCCTAGTTTTGAGCTCAATGTTTTTTCCAGTTTTATAAGATGAGTTGGGCAATTTTTTTCTTTTTGCTACAATTGGAAGAGCTTACATAAAATATGGATTATTTGCTCCTTGTTGGTTTTATAGAAATGTCTGTAAATGACCTGGGCCTGGTACCTTTTCTTCAGAAAGACAATCTGTGAATATCATTACAGTTTTTAATAGTTATTGTTCTACTCAGATTTTTAAAATTTAGTAATTAATTTTTCCTAGAAAATAGCCTTTTGATGTTTTTCATATTAATATAAACATTTACAGCAATTTTTTATGATTGTAAAAGTTCTATTTTATCTATAGTTATTTTCTATTTTCTCATGTTAATATTGTTTTATTTGTGTCTTATCTTTCCACCGCATTGATTTATATTACCTAGGATTTGTCTATTTTATTTGACTTTTTAAAAGAATCAATTTTGGTTTTTGTTGGTCATCTCTATAAAGTAACAGTCAAAATGGCCATCCTGCCCAAAGCAATTTACACATTCAGTGCAATCCCTATCAAAATACCCAGGGCATTTGTCAATAAACTAGAGCAAATAATCCTAAGATTCATATGGAACCACAGAAGACCCCAAATAGCCAAAGCAGTCTTGAGAAAGAAGAACAAAGCTGGAGGTATTACACCCCTGACTTCTATACTACAAAGCTACAGTGATCAAAACAGCATGGTACTGGCACAAGAATAGGTCCATAGATTGGAACAGAACAGAGAGCCCATAATAAACCCACCCATATATGGTCAATTAATATATGATAAAGGAGCCATGCATATACAATAGGGAAAAGACAGTCTCTTCAGTTACTGGTGTTGAGAAATCTGGACAGATACATGCAAGAAAATGAAACTGGATTACTGCCCAACTCCATACACAAAAGTAAACTCAAAGTGGGTTAAAGATCGGAATGTAAGACTTGAAACCATAAAACTCTTAGAATAAAACTAACAAAAATCTCTTGAATGTAAGCATGATCAATTTTTCTGGACATGTCTCCCCAGGCAAGGGAAACAAAATAAAAAATGAACAAATGGGACTACATCAAACTAAAAAGCTTCTGTATGGCAAAGGACACCAAAGCAGATCAAAAAGGCTTTTGTTTTGTTTTAATTCTCTTTTTCTTTTTTGGCTCTTATCCTTGTTATATCCTTCTCTCTATTATCTTTGCCTTAATATTAATGTTTTTCCTCCTTATTGAATAGAAAATTTTATTTTCAATTCTTGTTTCTAGTAAGTATCTTTAAGGCTATAAGGACCACTTTAATTGCATCCACAGTGTTTGAAATGCAGTAATTTTGTTGTCACTATGTTCTAAATATTTTGTAACTTTCTATTCTGACTTCCTTTATAACCCCATCACTTATATAGGATTATATTTTCTGGTTTTCAAATGTATAAGATTTGGAGACAGGCTACCTTTTTGAGGTTTATTTCTAATTTTATTATACTGTTATAAGTAAATACTGTTTGAATATTACCAGTACTTTGTGATTTGTTGAGGTTTCCTTTGAAATTTAGTACACAGTCAATGTTTATAAAGGTTCTTTGCTTCCTTCAAAGAATGTATATTCACTTTTGGGTGCAAAGTTCCATGTATTCTATCATGCTTAATAATTATATATATATCACATAGTTATATGTTATTTGATTTTCTAATTTCAAAGAGGTAGTTGAAACTCTCCAATTATGATCAAAACTGTTATTGTAGTTGGTATTTCCTTAGTTTAACATTTTCCATCTATTTAATTTAAACTTTTTTGGTGTCATTTTGTTTTGGGTGTTCTACTCATTTTTAAATCCACATGAAAAATATTTTATTTTAAAGGATGCATTTAAACCTTTAAATATGTGTGTCTAGTGATATATTTAGCCTTGTGTCATCCCATTTTGTGCTCTGTGATATTTCTTTCTCTTTTACTCTGTCTTCCTGTTTTCTTTTAGAATGTTTGAATTTTTAAAAATGTATTTCATTTTCCCTTTTCTAATTGTTTGGATGTTAAATGTTTGCTTTGATTTTTACTCGTGGCTATTCTAAAACTGATTCCTAGTAATGTTCAAAATGTATTGTCTTTCTTCTGAACAAGAAAAAATCTTTAGTTTGCTTTGACTTTGCTTTGGGCTAGTTCTCCAAAGTTCCTATGTTATTAAATTCTGAAAATGTTATGCTAACTGGCTATTACACTTGTGAAATTGTTATTTATTATTTTATATTTTATTGTTATTGTTATTTTTGCCATTTATTATACAGATTTTGTTGCATATTTGGATTTTGCATTCTTCTTCCTATTAAGCTTATTTTTCTTGTTGAATATATTCTTTTATAGTTCTTTCATTGAAGTCTGTGGCAAATCAATATTCTGAATCTCAAAGAATCTTCAAGTATCTGTATTCTTCATTCTTGAAAGATCATTTAGATGAATATAGAATTCAATATTCTGAGTTATATTTTCTCACCATTTTGAAGATACATTTATCCACTAATGTTATTGATGAAAAAGCTATTGTGTTTCATCTTTGTAGGTAATCAGTTTTTACTCTCTAATTGTGTTTTAGGATTATTTATCTTTATTTCAAGTGTTTCACCATAATGGGTCTATAAAAAAGATATGAAAATTTATCCTTCTTCATAGTCCAAGTCTTTGTCAATATTTATTTTAGTCAATATTTAGGACTTGTGTTTTCTTCAATAGTGGCAATTCTCAGTATTTTTCTTTAAATGTTGCCTATCTACTACCATTCTTTCTATTCTCTCATTCTGAAAATCATATTGTATTTGGAGTATTTAGACCTATTCATTTGTGTTTCTAAGTTCTCCTCCCACCCACATTTAAAAAAATCTGTTTGTACTACTATATGGGAGGTTGCCTTGATTTAATTAATCAGTTCATGAATTTGCTATTAGCCTTTTATTGAATGAGTAGGTATCCTCTTAGTGATGCTTAAACTTCTGTTTAAAAATTAATGATTTCTAAGATTTTTAAATGGTTTTAAAAAATAATTGACCACTCATTTTTATTTCATTTTCACCTAATTCTCATTCACTAACTCAGAGAAAGTTAAAAATACTTATTTTAAAGTCTTTAGTGTTTTCTATTATGATTTCACTGAGTTTTAAGTGCTTCTATGTTCTGAGTATATCATTTGCTTTTTATGGTGATACTTTCCTTCAGCTGCTTTGTAATTTTTAACTGTAATTTATCTTCACAGGAAGGTTTCTTTAGCATGTGTCCATAAACCTACAATGGTTTCAAGAAGGCCTTAGCCCTTAACACACTGGACATGACTTCAGTTAGCATTTCATAGCTCGAGACTTCTGGCCCTCTGAAGATGACATTTTTTCGTAAACCAGGTGCACTTGTTTTCCCTTGCACTCGGCTCACGTTCATTTGTTGGTGGGTGCCAGATCCTCTTTGCCTGGCTTCACCTGCTTGGCACCGTCCCCGGCATCAGAGCCCAGCCTGGGACGTCTCCGTTCTCCCCCAGTCATCTGGTCTGGTTCTAATCCTGGTCCACGGCAAAACAGTCAGCACTCATTCCTGTTCACCACAGTGGCTTTGAGAATGACCGCCCTTGTACGGAAACAATGATTTGTCCTTTTCTTATGTTTAAGAGAACTTAGGTGTTATAAATTAACACTGTGATCTTAAATTGAGAACATTATTTTCAATATTACATTTGAATTTATTATTCATTAGGATGTATTTTATATGCTGATACAGGGATCCAGTTTTTTTTTTCCAAAATCGTGAACCATTTGATCACACATTGTTCACTGATTAATCAGTCTCCTCTCTCCAGATGCCAATTTATTATGTTTCCATAATTATTTTGGTCTAATTATGGACTTTTCTCTGTATCACTTATGAGTCAGTCTCTGTGCCAGTATCACACTCTTATAATTACCATAACTTTATCACCTGTTTTAATATGAAGTAGAATAAACCCTCCTTCATCACTCTTCCAGAATTTCTTCAGATATTTTTATTTGCTTCTTCTTTCACCTAAACTTCAGAATAATCCTGTCATTCACAAATATTCTCTTGGTGTTTTGATTGGGATGACATGTCTTTTATACAAAATTGAACTCCCAAACTAAGAACAAGTACATACCCTTTTAATTAAATCTATTGTAACCTTTATTTCAAAGTGATAATTTTCTATAGATAAGGTATTATTGAGATTATTTCTAGGAATTTTGATTATTATTGTTTTTGTTGCTGTTGTAATTGGGTTTGTCTTATGTTTTTGTCCAAATTATTTATCATTTTATACATTTGTATTCAGTTAAATTTATTAACATTAATTTTTTTCTAACAGTTTTACAATTCAGAATTTAAAATATTCCAGTTGTCTATTCATCTCATCTGCAAATAATGATAGTTTTCTATTTCTATTGGCTAATTCTTATAAGACAATGCTAAATAATAATAAAAAACAGGTATCCTTTTGTTGCTTCCAAATTTAATGGGAATGCTTTTCATGTTTTGTCTTTTGCTTTGATTTTATAATTAACTATATTATGAGAATGTATCAAGACAGTGGGCACAAACAACAAAAGTCCAACTAAATGCATCATAAAAGTGTGAGAAAAACGAAAGGCCAACTAAAAGTGTCATAAATATTAGAAAAATGAGAAAATCTCATGCATGGCCAAGGAAAAGAGACCTCTGGTGTCCATAGATATAGATACCTCTGATATCTGTTAGATAGAACCTAATCATGATTCACTGTCAGAAGCTAGGGAGGGTGTGCTCACATTCTCTGAGTAAACAGAAGGGTGAAGAACTGAACCAATTAGGACGGTGCCTGTTAGAAAGAAGGGTTTAGGGGTAGAATGAATGCTGGGTAGGCAACAGTGTCTGCAACACAGAATTCCCACCTCCATTTTTCTTCAGAATTCTTCAGCAGTCATTTTCGGTTTCTTCAAATGCCTTTAGGTCCCAATTAAGCTGATCACATCATTTTTTCCATTGACCTTTGATGGTAAAAAATATTTTCTAAGGTTGAGCTGTCTTAATTTCTTGAATGAATCTAATTTGGTAATTGAAGATAAATTTAAAACTTATTTCTGAATTACATTTGTAAATATTTTAGCTAGTATTTAAAATAAGATTTATAAAAGAATGATGTCAGCATCATGGCAACATAAGACATCTGTCATTTTTGAAACTTTTCTCAACAACAAAAATTTGGCATCCATCCACAGACGAAAGTGCCCCTGAGGGAGCTGTAGGATCCAGGACCAAACACTGAGGGATCAGAAGGAGCCTGGCCTGCTGGAGCATTGGATCATAGGCAGACAGACCTCGGTTTTGGATGTGGACCCTGTAAGTGGCCCATGAACTTACACCAGGGCCTCTTGGCTGCAGTCCCATATCCACAGTACTGAATCCTTAGCCACATGACAGGAAGTAGTGAAGATACTGAGAAAGCAGCAGATAGAATCTTCAGAGGGCATTTAAGTATGCAGATCCTACTAAGTGCATTTCAGACTCCAGCAAGAAAATTGTTCATGAGACTCTGGAATACAAAAACCGCAGATCCCCACAACTGGCCCACAAGCACCCACAGTGTTCCATGAATCTCACCCTATGAGTCTGGGCTCCTTGTGCATGGTCCCAGAAGCAGTGGTGGGAACAAATTTTCGCAGGCAGTTAATGAGCATGCACAGAAATCAAGCCTGAATTTGTGGGCCAGGAAGAGAGCACAAACTTGGGATTTAGCATCACCTTTGGGAAAACAAAAGTGGCTCTGTCAGCACATTGCCTGGTACATTTTAGCATCCAGAGAAGGCATATAAGCTTAAGAATTCTGCCACAAGAAGGAGCAAGAAACATGGATCAGGTGTACTCATAGATCTGAGATAGCCTCAGAATCTCTAGTAGGGCTAACAGAAACTATCTCTATCCTGAAAGCAGTTAGTAAAGACTAGGTGAAATGACTGCTTCAAATGCAAAGACAGCAGCACAAGACTTCAAGGAACATAAATATTCAAGGTAACATGACACCACCAACGATCACAGTCATCCTCCAGTAACTGAACCCAAAGACATGGTGACCTGTAATTTATCCAATAAAGAATAATGACTGTTTTAAGGAAACTCAATGAGCTGCAACAAATTAAAAAAATAACACACAAAATAAGAAAAACAATACAGACAGAAAATGAGAAGTTTTACAAAGATGTAGAAATAATAAAACAGAACTAAACATAAGTTCTGGAGCTAAAGAATACAATGGGTGAAATTAAAACTTCAAAAGAGATCAGAATAGAAGAATGGTTCAAGCGGAAGAAAAAGTCTGTGAGCTAGAGGAAAGAAGGTTTGAAATTACCCAATCAGAAGAGAAAAAGAACAAAGTATGAAAAAGAACAAGAAAACCTACATCATCAACAGTAAACCATGAAAAGAAATAGTTTGCAAGTTGTTGGAGTTTTGGAAGAAGAGAAGGAGAAGGAACCAGAAAACCTACTAAAAGAAATAATGGCTGGTAATCTCCCAAGACTCCCAAGTCCACTCACATTGGGGAAGGGATTCTGCTTTATTTAGCGTATCAATTCAAATGTTAATGTCATCCAGAAACATCTCACACCTAGAAAGGGTTAGCCAAATATCTGGGCATCCCATGGCCTAAAAGTTGACACATAAAAACCAACCATCCCATGAAGAAACTCTTAATGTTCCATTTGAAGCCCATATTCTCCCAGAGATAATAGAGCTGCTGGCAAATCCAGAGAACCACTAAGAATTAAGCAACCCCTGCTCAACACTCCCACCATGTTGCCTTGATGTGTTTTCAAGAACAGCACAAACTTGGCCTGTCAAATCAATGGTGTTACCCTGAAACTAAAGAGCCATCCAGAAACTGAATACGACTCCTTATAGGACCACGTACACTTAGGACAGGAGAGAGTTACTCCCCAGTCAGACTTTTTAAGCTATTTGACCCCAGAAAAGCAGAAAAGAAACAACTATCCACTGCAGTGGAGCAAGTACTTATTTTCATTATTTTGCCCAACTTGCATAAAATAGAAAAGTAGAATAGAATACAACCAGCGTCCAGCATTTAAGTATCAGGGAAACTAAAAGTGGGGCCACAGAAAATTTAGAGGGTGTGGGAGAAATATACGTAAGAATACTTTTTTAAAAAGTGTGTATTTCCTAGGGCTGCCATATCAAATTACCACAAACTTGGTGACTTAAATACAGAAATTTATTCTTACTGTTCTAAAGGCCAAAACTCTGCAATTAAGGTGCTAGCAGGACCACACTGCCTGCAGAGGCTCTAGGGGAGAATCCTTCCTTGCCCCTTCCAGCTCTGGTGGCTCCTGGAGTTCCATGGCTTGTGATTATATAACCCAATCCCTATCTCTGCCTTCACACGGTCTCCTTCCATAGGTCTGTCTGTGTCCTTTACTGTCTCCTATAAGGACACTGTCATCGGATTCAGGGTCCACTCTAATTCAGTATGATTTCATCTTTATCCTTATTTTAGTTGTATCTTCAAATATCCTATTTCCAAATAAATTCCCACTCTGAGGTTCCAGATGGACATGGATTTTGGGGGAAAACTATTAAACCACCTACAAAAGGACTATGAAGAGCAGATACAAGTAAACTATTAGATAAATTGATTTTTCTTTTCAGCATGGCTAGTTCTCTGCTTCAGGTTCATAAAATAAGAAATTAAGTGTTGGCCAACCTGAACACTTACCTGAAGTTGTGGGGGAGAACTCACTTTCATGTTAATTAAGGTGGTTGGCAGAATTCAGTTACTGAGAATTCCCATTTTCTTGCTGGTTGTTTGCTGGGGGTCATTCTTACCTTCTAGTCCTGGTCTTCTTCCTCAATCTCCAAAGTTAGCAATGGCAGGCTGAGCACTTCTAATGCCTTGAATGTCTCTTCTGGCTTCCCCTTCTGCCTTATCTATCCAAATCTCCTGTCCATCACATGTTCTTGACTCCTTCTTTCATTGCACTTAGCTCCAGACAGCCCACATGGACAAGGTTGCAGGTCAGGGGTCTGCTGGCCTTGCCAGGACCTTGGCCTGGGGCTGGAGCTGGAGTGGACAGTTTTTACTGTGGGCATTGAAGGCAGAGCCAAGCCAGTCCTCTGGGGAAAGCTAAGATCCAACCCAGAGACTGCATTCAATGCCTGATCTGAGGGCAAGTCGCAAAGCTGGCAGTCAGGAATCTGGAAGAGAAAGGAACAAGGCAAGAGTAGGCCAGGAAGAAGGAGGACTGGGGCACTTTTAGGGCAGCTGTCATAAATCACAGCAGGAGCCTCTGGTAATCAGTGAATAGTGCCCTTAAAACCCAGAGGCCTACCAGCCTCTTTTCAGTTGCAGAAAATGTGAGCTGCAGCAGTTTATTCTTTATCTTAGAGGGGTGTACCATCATGCTGTAGACTCAGACCCCTAAATGTTTCATAAATGTTAGTGAATTGTCATGATTTTTCTCGCTCCATTTCTGGTATGCCTGCATCTTACTAAGGTATTTGTATACTTGCCACTTCCTGCTCTCTAATTCCAGTTAGCATCATGCCTCTACCTGGCCAGCACAGAATGTCAAGGTCAATCCAGATCCCTTGGGACTACATTATGATAAAAGATCAGGGAAGTTAACACAGCTGATGTGCAGCAGTACAAGTGCCCTGCTGTCCTTGTTATGCAGAGGCGAACTGCCTTGGGTCCCTCCTCATCGTGAGATTCAGCCAAAAAGTACTCACCGAGTAAATAGCTGTGTAACAGGGGTCAGAGGCTGTGTGTGACGGTCCAGTTAGGAGACAGAAAACACTGTAATCTGAACAGGGAGAATTTAAAATGAAGAATTATTTACAATAACATGATTAATTATTGACTAGTATAACATGATTATTTTAAATGTAATAGAAAGAACTATTTAACATGTTTACAGGATCCAGCTCTAGTGCTATAAAACAGTTCAAAGAAAAATAAATTTGGAGCTGAAAGGCAATAAAATGGTGCTGACCAACTGCTTGCCCAGAGCCACTGGCCAGAGCACCAGAAATGCTGAGAGTTAGCATCTCCCGAAGCAGCTCTCAAACCATGCGAGATGGACTCTGACTAAACGCGTCGCCCTCGTTACCTTCTGGGGGGCATTCTGTTCAGAACACGTATTCCTTTTCTGTGATAGGAGTCCCTCAATAACACATATTCATATTGGATTTTCGTTGTTATCCTTCTTAATCCCCTCTCTTCCCCACTTCTGCTGCTTGATATCAGCTTCCAAAGAAGCTACCTGCTCTCCACAACTTGTCTTTGGCTCCGCTTCCGCAGGACACCGAGTAACACACCTGCACATGGGGGTCGTCACTATACCACTTACCACCATCAGTGGGATCAGAGTTGCTCTCAGACAAGTAACCTGCCGAATGTTCAGCTAATCCGTCCATGGCACTGCTGCCTTGGCATCCATCCTGTTTGGCCAAGTGGTCTGCAGGGACCTGAAGTTACACCAGCCCTCATGCAGGCGTATGCCCTTGAGAGACGCCCACAGAGTCACCGGCGTATGTCGGCTCCTGATGTGACTTCCCACCACCCTGCGATCAGCAGTTTCCCCCCACCTGTCAAGGCTTTCCCCTTGTACCTACCTTAGATAAGACTCCTGAGGGCTTACCAAACCCCACTTTTTTGGTCTGATTTGACCAGTTTTGCTTTAGCCTGAGAACCCTGAAGCACTCCACCCATAGCCCTTAATACAGGCCTGTGCCTCAGGTCCTGCTTCTTTCTCTGTCTGCATCCTGCCTTGACTTCCCCTGTGATCTCTCAAGGCATACTGTGCACTTCCCCCAGGACCTGTGAGTGCAGACTTCTCTATCTCAGTTTCTCTTGTGGCCTGTTATTGAACCATGATTTACCACAGGCACCCTGAGTTCCACTTGAATATTAATTAAACAGTCAGAACATAATGCAATTTCAAAATCCCTACATGATGGTCAGCTTTCTATAACCACTCCCACCCAGTACAGTTCACTTAGCACCATTTTTAGAGTAAAAAAAGTCTAATATAAGGATTTAAACTTAGGCTTTATTTAGAAAATGCAATTATGGCATGAGAGTGAAAGAAATGGTAGACGGAGAAGAAAAGAATGAAAATGGTTCAAGAGGTGATACTGTGCTGGCCTTTGCCTCACAATAAGCCGTGAAGAGACAGTGAGTCTGCGTATTCATGTATTTACTTCCATGGGGTTTCTTCATATCAGCTACAGGGTAGCCTGCATGGGAGGGTAGGGTGAGAAGGAACCTAACTTCCTGCCTCTGTCCTGTATCTTGTTTCCATTTGTCTGGTTTACCGTATGGGAAGTTGACCCCCTGGGGTTGGATTTTGCCATCTAGCGCTTTGGTAGTTGCTTGGATGCCTAGATCCTGTTACAACATGGCAGCTCATCCAAATCTGGATGTAGTTCGAGTCATAGACTCAGCAAGTGAGCGGCAGGCTGCATGGTGGGGGCCATCGGGAGGCCCACAGTCCAGAACAACACAGCCATCAGGGCCACACCACAAAATCTCAAGACCCAAGTGCAATAGCTTGACTGTGGTCGCATCTGAGATAATGAACCAGTCTCTGGAACTTGGAGGCATGTGAGGCTGAGGCAGTATGAGGAGGTAGTGAGATGTGTCTAACATGGCTGCTGCAGGCTGGAGTAAGTCTAGGAGTTTTTGTATAAGGAGTAAAACTTGACCTGGGCCTTGACTTCAAAGAGGCTGGGGTGTAGCAAAGGAGTAATTCAATGTACAGGGACAGTTGGGCCCTGGGAGACTGTGAAGAGGAAATACAGTTCCTCACCCAGAGGTGCATTCCTCTCACCCTAGCATGACAACATCCAACACGAGAAATCACCCAGACAACACCTACGAGTTCCAGCTTCCAGCATGCTTGGGGCAAGCAGGAAGCTGGGAGGATGAGGACCTAATGGGACCTGTGTCTGCCTTTTAGCACTCATAAGTTATGTAAATATAGTTCTCACATTCAGATCAGACTCAAGAAAGTCTGAATTTGTAAACAACTTTGCATCAGAAGTTCCCTTTAAATGCCTGAGCATGAAGAACTCCATTTAAGCAATCAGCACACTTGTAGAGGAGGCACAATCAGTTACAGGAGCTGGAGCTGTGAATAGGGACTGAGCCCACCACACAGCTCAGTCAGAGGGCTCTGCTCTGGACGGAGCAGAGGGAAGGGACACAATAACAAAGTTCCCATGCCCACGCCTGTATCTGCATGTCCACACCCAGGTACACCTGCATATCCCAGGCTTTCTCTTGGAACTGGCCTCCTTTACTTTGAATTTTGCCACTCTATCACCTTAGGCATTAACACCTACTGATTCACCATGTAAAATGGCTGCCGATGCATCAATTTATTTCCCTTACTCTGCTCTTGTGTGAGTACAGTCTTCCCTGTTGGGGTTATTACATGTACCCACGTATGCAGTTCCTTGGAGAGTGAGCACAGCCCTAGCGGGAGGGATGATGGGGACATGCGGGGAGGCTCAAGATAGAGACAACCCCCCATCTTGCCTCCTCTATGAACCCTTTCCTAAGGCAACCTCACTATGGAGAGCTGGTCTCTGCTGTCTGCAGCATCCGTGCATCCCTTAGGGTCGCCTTACATCGCACTCCTTTGCCTTCTTGCCTGTGTTTCTGGGCTAGTCTTACAGAAGGCAGCTTATTTCTCTATCCGTAGCTCCATGTTCAGTATCTGGTGAGAAGCTTTGTAGATATTGACAGAATTAATGAATAAATAAGATTCTGATTCAGTCTGAATCAATAACTTTGAAGTAGCAATAAATAATTATGAATTAGCAGGTCAATCATATTTTAAAAAATAAGTTAGAAAATTATCTTTTGTCTGTTGAAAGATCAATGAGAGAATTAGGTCATCAAAGAAGCACGTTATCACTCCTTGATATGTATACAAAGGAACTGAAATCCAATGTCCACACAAAATCCTGCACATGTTTGCTTATAGCAGCATTACTATATTTGCCAAAAGTTGGAAGCAACCAAGATGTCCTTCAGCAGGTGAATAGGTAAATAAAGTGTGGTACATCTAGACAATGGAATATTGTTCAGTGCTAAAATGATATGAGCTATCAAGCCATAAGAAACCTGGAAGAAACTTAAATGCATATTACTCAGTGACAGAAGCCATAATACTAAATGAAAGAATCTTTAAACTGTATGATTCCAACTCTATGACATCCTGGAAAGAGCAAAACTATGGAGACAGTAAAAATACCAGCTGTTGCTGGGGGTAAGGGAGAAGGGGCACAGAGGACTGGCACAGCAGTGGAGCTGCTCTGTGTGATGCTGTAATGGTGGGTACATGGCATTATGCACTTGTCCAAACCTATAGAAGGCACAACACCAAAAGTGAACCTCAACATAAACTTAAAAGACACACGTTATTAAAGTTGTTCACTTTCTACCAATAATAATAATAGTAAGAATAGTAACATTAATAAGCACTGAGAACATTCAGAGGCTTTACAAAGAACTTTACATATATTGTGAACTAAGGTATCATCACTCCTGTTTTGTAGATAAGGAAACAGGCTTGGAAAGGTTCAATAACTTAATCAAAGTTACACAGTCAACATGCATCCATACTCTGACACCAAATTTCTAAATATGAGATGCTCTGAATCATCCCATATTTCTGTGTTTTGGAGCACATTTCTCTCCAGAAGAACCTGCTCAAGCTGTGCATACACCAGACTCCCTGCTTGCAACACTGCATTAGCTAAAGTGATCCCAGGGGGCTCAGTCACAGAGTTCTGAAATATTGCTTCAGACCTTACGTGCAGGGCTTGGTAAACATCAGTGTATTCAGCTGAATCCCCAAATTGGAAACACAGGTTTCTCCCAGCCAGTATATTAACATTTCCACCCGACACAGATGACTTACTGACTCATGTATTTGTTTATTTTTCTGGGTTCCCTATTAGGATGGGAACTGCAATTATCTATCTTGTTCATAATTTTATCTTAGGTGTATAGGTCTAAAATATAGTAGCTATTAAGGAATGAATAAATGAATGAAATGAGGGAAAAATACATAGACATACTGTCTTACCACTTACATTATCCAATTCACTCAAATATTATTATCCATATTTTATAGACAAGAGGAAGGAAGCCCACAGAAGTGATGCGACCTGCCAAGATCACGGTCTCCGTTGTTCTGTCTCTTGGAAGGAGCACGGACCAGGCCCACAGGAGTCCTGTCCAGCCTCTGCCAGAGAAGCGCTGCAGCGCCCCAGCAGTCAGACCTTTCACCCTGGTCTTGTGACATCAGCTCCAGCCTAGAGCACAGAAAGGCAACTCCACTGCGCTCACTGGAGAGAAAATAATAAAACAGAAAAGGAGGAATGTAAGGAAAAAGAAGCACAAGAGAAGAAAATAAAAACCGCTCTTAGAGATTATGAAATGAATGGCTTTACAGCCCTACTAGGAAGTGCTGGTGTTTCCTAGAGCAGAAATACGCGTCCTAGCAGCAAGCTGGCAGCCAGAGACAGCTTTCGCTCGGGCCCTGGTGGCTGCCAGGGTGGGAGCCTCCCAGCCGAAGGAGAGGTGGAGGCAGCCCCGGCTCCCCCAGGCTGGGGCTCCCTTGGGGGTCCCCGAGCAACAGCCTCTGCAGGTATCTGCATATGTGTCCACGAGCCTCGGGTCTTCCACCTACAGAATAAAACTCGGGATGTG